TTGGCGGAGGAGGAAGATGCACGCGAGGATCAGAGATTTATTTCGCGACTCGTGTACTCGAGATGAAGGAGATTATTGAGAAATAATTGTTTTTAAACCGATTTTTTTCTTCAAACGAATATATATATATTCATTTCGAGATACGATGGAAAATAAATCTCGCGCGTGTAACACGGTGAATGGTGTGCGCGAGTCGAGCGGCGAAGGAGAAAAATAGGGAGGAGGAGAATGGGCGAGAGAGAAAGAGAGAGGAGATGGGAGGAGGATAAAGAGAAACGAGCGAGGAGAGATACAAGCGGCGGCAAGAGGAGAGCAGGTGCAAACTTGGCCTGTCAGGAAGTCGCTTACAGCTCGAGGACAAAAGCTTCCCGAGGGACTCGTGCACGGTTGGGAAGCAAGGCTAGGGACGGAGCTCGGTCTTCTCCGGATAGAGAAGATGCCAGCCGTGGAAGAAGGTTGAAGGTGGCGCGAAGGAGGCAGGGTGGGGCGAGCCTAACTGTGAAATAACAGGGTGGCCTCCTCAACCCTCGTTTCGGGGGGATGCGAGTCTCATACGTCACTTCCTTGGAAAGAGGGCGGTGTCTCAGGGTTGAAGCAGGTTGATATTGATTTATTTATATCGAGGACGCAACCCCAATACGATGGGGTTATTGGGAATGTATCCGTATCCGGCCTATAACCCCGCCCGTGTTTCCTACGTTTCTGGATGGAACCCGTTTCTTCCTTACTACTTAGATGTTTATCCCAACTCCGTTCTTTCGATCGTTTTGATCCACGTGTAATTTGTACGTGCTTTATCTACGTATCGAATCGAGAAGCAAAAATCGTGTAACGGATCATCATCGGAGAAAAATTCTTTTTTTCGCGCTTTATTATTTTTATACGCGCGTCGAGTTTTAAGAAAATAGACGATCATTCCAGTAAATAGGCAATTATCAACTTTACAAAAAGCTTTACCAATTATCAATATCTATTGGAAAATAAACAAGTTACGAGTTGATTAGATTATAGGCCATCTTTTTTTTACAGTTTACATATATATATATATGTATATATATATATATGTCAAACAATAATCGTACGATTCGATAATTCTAACATGAAAATTCCTTAAACGATATTTAAATTAATCTCGAATATTTTGTAAATATGTCAAAATCGTTTCGAAAAGAAATCGATTAATGAATGATGAATAAAAAAATTTTAAAATGAATGGCAAAATAATGGTAAAATTAAATCCAATAATTTCTCAATCAGGAAGTCTGGAAATAACAAGATAACAAAGAAGCGAAGAGAGCTTGGTTGAATTGCAATCTAATGCATATAATGTATATTTTATTTTCGCGTAACCCTCGGCCGAGACGTGATTCCGAACGAATTACAAAACCGATGACAGACTACCGAATGAAGCAGCACGATGCATGAGGAGGGAGGGGGCTGACTCATAAAAAGAGAGCAGAATTGTAATTGAGAATATCCGTGCGATTGGCCAGCGAAAAAGTTCAACGAACGCTGAAACTGGAAGCACGACACTCGTTAACACAGAATGAATCAGTGGCGGACAACGGAGGACCCGATACCGATGAGAGATCCATGGACGCGCTGCTCGAATTACATTCCAATTTACAATCGTCGAGATAGTCCGATAAAAATAAACTCTCGAAACGTATCCCTCCTCCTCACTTTTCGTCCCTGATCGAAGACGGAAAACGAAGACGAACACCCCCATCCAGCCGAGTCCTCGAAATCGGCCCACCTTCATCTCGATACACGATTTCTCGCCACTCGTCGCGTTCCATTTCAACCTCCCTCCCCTCTCTCTTTCTCTCTCTCTCTCTCTCTTTCTCGTCTCATCCGTTGCACACGATTCGACATAACTGTCGCTAACACGCGAACCCCGAAGTTAACCCGCAATTTAGCCGCAGAGCGATCGTTCAAAAGAGACGTCTCACTTGATGCCACTTAACGAACGCCCCTCCCCCGCCTCCCAGGCCCCGGACTCGTGCTCCGTTTCCAGATGCGACGATTGCTCTCTCTCCTCGGAACACGGAATCGGCCGTGATTAAAGTTTCAGGGGCGGAATAATTCATGACGCGGTTCGAGCCGCGCTTCAATGAATTCGGGATCGTCGCTTTCGCTGGTACCGTCTTTCGATGGTATGGATCGACTTATCCCCGGCTACGGATTCAATTACACCCCGCGAATCTATATACCGCGTTCAGAAACCGCGCGTTCGATTAATAGGAACGTTGGCGCGGTCGAAAAACGTTGGAGAGAAAGTTGGAACGAAACGAGTAAGGTAAGGCGAAATTAAATAAATGGAATCCATCGGTATTGTTCGTCCGCGAAGGCATTCTTACGACGACGAGTGTTAGTGAAAATTCCCACGATAAATCACGGTTACAGAGTTGACGGGGTGACGCGTATGATTACACCCTGTCTCTTAGCGGCCATAAATTTCTTCACGGCCGCGCTCCACCTCCGCGGCTCCAGGATCCTACAGGTATTCCCGGAGTCCCGTTTCATCGACGACGACTTCGGGGATAACTGTGACGCACGGTCTGCCAGTGTTTAATGGGTCGGCAACGACCGACTCCGAATAATCCTGTGATGTATCGTTTATTCGCTCGTTCCTGCTTCGAGCGTAGAAAGGCGGGATTCCATCGACGATGGAGGAGCAGTCATCTCGCTCCCTCCCGATCCCGCCTCCGCTTCTTCCCGCGTTCTATCCAACGTCTACCTGCAGAAATCTTTCCCGCGTTCGACACGAATTCTCCGCTCCTCGTTCCGAGATATCGCCCGGCCAATGTGTCGCGTGCAATCCGTATCTGTATTCTTGGAAAAACTTGTTTTTCTTTTCTTCACGGTCGATCGTGAATCGTTGGAATCCTCCTCGTCGTTAATGCGAATTCAGCTGCTCCTCTTCGAGGACTAACTATTATATATTTCGAATGGACTGGCCCGACCCTGTCATTTATCTAGGCCACAAATTAACACGACTAACCATAACCGTAACGTCAGGTTAAACGCGCCTTTTCCTCGGGCCCTGGAATTAGAGAATCCCAACCCCTAATTTTAATCCTTCAAAAAAAAAAAAAAAAAGATCCTCTCGTTCTTCTAATCCTTAAATCATAATGTTTAATATTTTTCACAAAAACACACTTTTCTCTTTTATATATATATATATATACATATACATGTTACGACAATCCGATTCGAAATAGCTGAGTTTAATCGATGACTAAATCGTTATTCGTTATTTCGTACCGTGTATCAGAAGCGCGCATACACACACACACATATACATACACACATAAGAAGGATACCTAATATCGGCGCGCCTGGTCCACCGGTCTCCAAAGCAATTTTCTGCTTTTCAAGAATATAATTTTCGCCGGGGGATGGTCGCTATATTTCCGTAGATAAGACTGTAGCTCCGCCGGATCCGGCGGCCGCCCAGCCGAGACCCTACTCTCTCGTGTGAAATTACTTCGCTCCGCGGCTTACTCTTATCCCCCGGTGCCACCCTTTCTTACCGTGTATCCTCATTCAGCCGGGGATCTCCTCTGGAAATAAAGTAGATACCTTTCCTATTTTCGCATCCGGAAAATTGCAATACCTCCGCCACGGAGACTCGCTCCTTGTCCCCTTTATAAATCAGCCTCGCGGTCTCCTCTCGCGTTAATCGCGTCGCGTTCGATCATTTTTTTTTTTTTTTTTTTCCTTCTGTTTCTTTCTCCCCTGATTATTTAGGTATGTGTAGTATATTTGTTTCTCTTTGAAGAAAAATTGTTCAAACGCGACGAGTTACGAAATTGCGAAGATAGAAAATTTTACGAGTCGATTTTTCGAACTAACGAGTCCGAAAAGATGTAGAAGAAGGAACAACTCGAAACGAAACTCGATATAATATAAAACGATGATTAAAATAAAAACGATAATTTCGTAATATTTCATTTTTTTTTTTTTCTTTTTTTGGTACGTGACAAAATATCACGTTCGAGAGAAATTTAAAAATGTTCGTTTTTTCTATCGCATATACAAAAAAATTAAAAAGAAAAAAAAAAAAAAANAAAAATAAAAAAAAAAAAAAAAACGTTTCCCCACTCTGCGAGTATTAATCGGGGACAATTTAATCGTGAAATATACGGGATACCTGTATCTGTTGTATTCAGTATCGCCACGAATATCTGTCGTATCCAACGTTACCGCCCCGAGGATTCGTTCGATACATTCCGGTAGGCGGTGAACCCGTTTGAGCGAGTACCGGCTCTTAACGCAACAAGCTCTCCTCGCGCGTTTATCTAATTATTATAATTGCGCGATTATTCTTGGCCGAGGAGAGGCACGGCAGGGGTGAGATCGCATGCCGGCCCTCGCGCAAAAAGAAACGAAACGAGTAACGGGATATATATGGAGCAGCACGCGATAGAATCTCCCCGAGTTCGAAGTCGTGATGCGAACGATCACGAATTCTTCGCCCCCTTTGTGCATCGGACCTCGCTGCATTCTTTCCACGCGCACACGCTGCTGCTCTCTGTCTCCTTGTAATAACTATCCCTTTCGAGAATTTTTATATACACGAATTTATTCTCCTTCTACCGATTATTCTTCTCTCTCTCTCACTCTCTCTCTCTCTCGCGCTCGCGAGCGATTGAAGAATTTCCTTCTTCCTTCCACTTGTGCAGAAATATTTATGCATTTCATTGAACCCCTCTGAGGAGGTGATTCGACTCGTTTCTGATATCGTTCACATTGACACGATGCAAATCCGACTCCGTATATACCCCGACCGTTGGTCGCGCCGATCACGCGACCGCGTGCTTCCCTTGCATACGTAGGAGAGAGAATGGAAAAAGAAGAAGAAGAAGAAGAAGAAGAAGAAGAAGAAGAAGAAAGGGAAAAAAGGAAAAGAACCGGTCGAGGGGGTAATTTTGCTTGATACGAGGTTGTATGGAGAGAGTGATTAACGGTGAAATCGATTTTTTTCTTTGCTTCAGGTAAATGGTGTCCGCGTAGGGAATGGAGTTCGCCGCCGGACGCGCAACGAGCGGCGAGCGATGCGCGTCGTGGCGTTCTTTACTCTTCCGTCTTCCTCGGTAGCCCCGGTAAGTCTCTACCAAAACTTCTCACTCTTCTCTCTCTAAAAACAAAACTTTTCTTCAAACCCTTCCATCAAACATTTGAACATCTCCGCTCGGAGATATGGTTTTCGTTCTCTGTTTTTTCGTTCTCTTTTTTTCTTAACCTTTCCTCGAATGATGCTCGAGTAGAATTGCGCTCGTGTGATTTTCCCTGCTTAACCCCTTCTCGCTTAATCGAATAGTTCGATCGTTCGCGATTTCGCGTTCGAGTCTTTTTCATTTCTTCGTATTCGAGTCGCGAATCCACGCTCTTTATGCTTGTTAGATGAGATTTAAGATTAGAGTGGAATCGATTTTTATAATTATTTTTTACACAGATATATTCTCTGTATATTCCGTCTCGCGTCGGCAAAAGTTTAAAAAATTTAAACGCGATGTAAAAATTCCTTTCTCCTTGCCGCTTAAGAAAATTCGTACGCACGCCTATTAATTCCGCGCAGGGCGAAGAGGAACGAAAACAGAAGCGTGTGCACAGACGGTTTCGTCGTGAAACACGCGCGATATAACCGGGGTCCTCGGTGGGAGGAGCGCAATCGTTCGCGGCATAAACAAGTTTTAATCGTGCCTCGGGCATTCGCCGCGTTGAATAAATATTGATATCGGGTGACGCGACGGCCAATCAGAATCGGGGCTTATAAAGCAAGCCGCTTACACCTCCGCCTGTCTATCGCGCCGCGGCGCGTACACGCGTTCTCCCCCATGTTCCCATCTCGACGTGTTACAACATCGCTGCTTATCTGCGATATTCTCAGCCGCCAAATATCCGGAGAGGAAAAAAGGAAAGAAAGAAAGAAAGAAAGAAAGAAAGAAAGAAAGAAAGAAAAATTGGCCGGAGACAAGAGGCGATGGAGGGACTCGTTCGTTCCCACATATCGCTCATTCGCTGCATAACGCAAAAATCGCGATTTTAGAGAAATCGAGTCTGAATATTTTGTGAAAAGAGTATTAACGCGTACGGATTAAAATTTCAATTCGAAAAATTCATCCTTTTCTATCGGTTCATTTTCTAAAAAATAGCAACTACTCAAAATCAACGGATCAAGCCTCGTTAAGACCGATCATATTTTATATTCAAATACTAAAAATTATACATCGGGAGGGGGATAAAACTGAATCGTCAAGTTTGCCGTAATATAATGCCGCTCGTGTAAACGCGCGCGTTAAGCGTATCGTTTGCCACCGGTGGTCGCGATCTCTCGGTGGCGCGATGATGTCGAGCATCGATACCTATCGATACACACGTCCGATTCTCGCGGAAACGATCGGCGCGAGCTGTCCATCCGCGATTTCTCCTTTAATTAAATTACGCGGCCGCCAAGGAGGGCCCCCGATAAGGGGGGACGTAAATCACTTTCAGTCGATAACTAATCGAACGATTCGAAACCGGGAGACGTCCCCGTCGTGGAAGACGTCGGGGAGTATCGCGCATGCGCTCTTTTCCTTCCCTCTTTTCTCTCCCTATCTCGCGCGCGCGTTCCTCTTTATCTCGCCGGCCCTCTCTTCCTCTTCGTCCCAAGGAGCACGGAGAGAGAATACGAGCGAACGAGCCGGAGAGGTAGAGAGAAGCTCGGCGCGACGACGGGGAGAAACGCGGAGTGAGGGAAGCCGGGGAGGCAACGGTGGAGGGAAAGGGACGGGAAGACTCCGGGTGGACGAGGGAGACGGACAGAGGGCAGGCGAAAGAGGTGAAAGAGAGAGAGACGGAGGGAGAGAGAGAGGGCCGCGAGGCGTCTCCATGGCAACGAGGCGAGGCGGGAATGCGACGGTAACCATGGCAGCCGCGGGTTCCTCTCTCGGACCGACCTGTCTGTGTCCCTCTTTCTGCTCCCTCGTCCTCCTCGTGTTCGCCTCGCTCTTCGTACGGACCTCTTCTTTTCGCCCACGGATCGAGCCACGAGCACAGACGGATCCGCAAAGAGAGAGAGAGGAAGGTGGAGCGCGCGCACACAACCGCGTTGTGGACCTCGCGTTGGGATACGCGCCTCTCTCCGAGAAAGCTTCTGAGCTTCCTTTTTGCTCTTTTCTCTGCGTCCACGATCTTTTTCTCCTTCCCTTTTCTCTCGCGACGACAATCGCGATAGCAATGGCACACACTCGTTTTATCGTCCCGGAGATATCGACTCGGTGGATAAATACACGGGAGGGAAGGGGGACGTGATCGAGGTTTAATCGTAATTACGGTGTGAACTGCGCCGACTTTGAATATACGGGAAAGAGGAGGGGGAGGGGAGGGAGAGGAGTTTGATGGACGGGCGGTGGAGAACGGGTCGGGTAAAAAGCCGGTTTAAATAATAGTATAGCTTGTCGGTAATCAAACAGCGTGCGGGGAGAAAGAACGAAAGGTGGATTTAGTTCACCCAGTTTGCGATATTCCATTTTTCGCTCGGTCGATTGATGAAAGTACAAAGGTTAAGAATGATTATTCCGCGTTTCTCTCCTCGTCCATACCGGTAACCCGGTATCCATTCGTTAAAACGTCAGCCTGTTCCGCGGCGCGGGTGCGTTAATATTGTCGTTTAAAAAGCGTTACGGGGGCTCGCATTAATTAATCGAAATACGGAAACGGGGGATAAATTTTATCTCGGCCGTGCAGCTCGACTGTTAATAATGAATCGTTAATGCTAATTTTTGATTTATGCGTTCATAATCTTTCCCTCCCCACCCCGCGGGAAGGGTCTCGCTGCACGGGTAGATCGCGCTGGACCGCGCACGGTTTTTGAATGCAACCGATATCGGTGACTGAATTAAACGACCGACCGGAAGCGCGGGATAAATTTTGTTGCAGGATGCGACCGGTTATTAATAATGACTATTTCCTAGCAGCTCGTTAATAGAACCGCCGCCAACGATTGCAATTTACGCCCTTCCCCCCCCCCCTCCCTCCCTCCCTCCCTCCTCCACACCGACCTCTCTTTTCACCGATTCGAAATTTTCGAATCGCCGTTTCCACTCCTGCTGTTTCCTCCGCATCGCCCGCATCTCCCTTTCTTCGCACTCGCGTTCGAGACGGTTGCGAATTTCCGAGAATTCTCACCTTTCTACACGAACCAAGCATTCGAAACTAATGGAAACGTTCTCGGTAAATTCGCGCCAAAGTGCCTCTTGGTTCCCACTTTGAATTTCCACACTTGGAGCGAAGACGAACGTGGACAGCCGTTGAAAAACCACGGTGATGGCGGTGCGTGCGCGCGCTTAAACGCACGTAGTTTAAAAGCCATCGACATTCTTCGACACGGAAACGTGGCTCGCCGTTCAACCAGAGTAGAAGAGAGAGAGAGAGAGAGAGAAAGATCCCAGACGCAAACTCCGCGAAAGCTGATTATGTATGACTGGCGAGGAATAGCGCGGGATTCCAGGCGTCGCTTAACTCCCCGATACCCGTCCACCATTTCGCGGACGAGAATCGAGTTTCTTCACCGACGACAGCATTAGCGCGTCCACGTTATCCTCCGCTATATATTTTCGTCGGCCGATCCATTACTAGCCGGCACGTTCCGTGGACCCCGCCGACGTCTCTGTTATTTTCAGTTTCGTTAAATCGCGTCTCTTCGTCTTCGAACGAAACTATTCCCTCTTGGCCGTTAGATTCCACGAGCGAAATTTTCGCGACACCGTTTACCCGATCGACGACAATCGACTGAGGCGTCTACTGTTATTGCGCCGAATACGAGTAGGGGGGATTAACGCGTATCAAAACAAAACTCGTTTCGTGCGTCGTTCTTATTTATTTTGTTTCCTTCTATTTCTCGGAATTTCTCGCCTCGTAACATCGACGAATACCTCGTTTATTTTGTTTATATCGATAATGGGTAAGGACATAACGACTCTTCGATACGCATCAATTTTCGAATCGTCTCGTTCTTTCTTCTTAGAAAAATAGATCTGGATTTCGACGAACGTGGGAAATATTCCTCTTGTTTTCTTTTCTTCTCCTTTCTTTTTTTTTTTTTTTGTACCATTCGTGCCGGTTAAGCGACGATATTTGGTTATATTATATATTCGAACTGGGTCGCCGAAAAATTTAAGCGACGGTTAAATCTCCCTTCCGAAATAAATATAACCCACGAAGAAAGAAACGGGGTGGAACCGCCCCGCACACGATGGAATTTCGAATATCAGCGTGCGAGCGGATAAATTGTCGACGCGGTCTCGTACGACAAATTTCATCGAGATTCCGTCGAAAACCTACTTGACCGCTCGCTCACGGGAGATCTCGTTACCGTTCTTGTCGGGGTGGGTGGATTGTTGGTCGAGAGAGAAGGATGTAAAAGGGCGGAAGGGTGAATCGGGATGGAAATACTCTCTGTTTGGTTTTTCGTGAATCGCATCAATCCCCTCGTCGCAGAGGCGCGGTGCTAACCCGGGCTAACCCTCTCCTCCTCCTCCTTCGCCACCCTGAAACCCTGAAGCCTGCAATGGCACACGGCACACTGTGCTCCCTTTTCCGGCACGGTGTAGCGTAATGTAAGGGTTGCGCCCGCGTCGACGGTGCTTTGGAGGGTAGGGGGAGGGGAGGGAGGGTGAGAGAGTTTAAAACCCCTCGGGGCTTGAGGTCCAGGCCGGTTAGATTTATCGGATGTTTTGGTTGGCGGCCATTGTTAGCCGCCCTCGCTCCACTCTCTTTCCCTCTTTCAACGTTCTCTACGACCAGTGGCGTAGAGCCGATTCCAATGGCTCCTCGTTTTTTTTATTCCTTTCCCTCCCTTTGCCACTCGAGGGGCTGTCGAGCCGAAGGGGCGGCCGGATATCGGAATTTTGCGAGATACCAAACGTTAAGAATTCCACCTCTTCGTCTCGTTTCCCTCTCGATCCGCGTTTATTATTCCTCCTCGGAATCGGAAGAGGAATGATCTCTCGTCGATGCTTCTTCTTCTTCTTCTTCTTATTATTATTATTCGTTTTCGTGGCGTGTATCGTTCGTACATTTTGAAAATGTAGAAGGGGAAATTTTATATTATCTATAG